TCACTGTAACCTCCGCCTCCCGGGTTCAGGTAATTCTCCTGCCTCAGCCTCCTGAGTAGCTAAGATTACAGGCACACGCCACCACACCTGGCTAATTTTTGTTTTGTTTTTTTTCTTTTTAGTAGAGACAGGGTTTCACCACATTGGCCAGGCTGGTCTCAGACTCCTGACTTCAGATGATCTGCCTGCCTTGGCCTCCCAAAGTGCTGGGATTACAGGTGTGAGCCACTGCACCCAGCTAACATAGCCCTACTTTGGATGGAGGTACCAGAGAAAGATTCTCTGAGGAAGTGATGTTTGAGTTGAAATGTTAGTAATTACAACACAAATAATGGTTAAAATTTAACTTAATAAATGTGCTTCCTACCTGCCAGGAACTGTTTCAGATGCCTTACACATATTTATTTAATTTTCATAATCATTTAAGGAAGTAGGTGCTATTCCTCTTCCTCTTTCCAAGTGAGGAAACTGAGGCACAGAGAAATGAAGCCACTTTATATGCAATTGCACAGCACATAAGATGCAGACCTGATATTTGAACTCAGGCCAGCAGAGACTGCACTCTCAGCTGCTATGCTTTATTGCATGTGAAGAGACCGCTGTGCAAAGACCCGGAGAATGCATGTTTTCCAGGCAGAGGTCACATGCATCAGTTTAAGGCCCTTCCAATAACACTTATGGGGAATCACCTTTCCCACACAGTCTTGCGGGAAGGTGACCCTTGGCTCCCGTCTCCCACTGCCCCTTTCTCTTCCTCCGGCTGAGAAAGGCGGATCCTTCTGCAGCCTGCCCTTAACACAGCCCACAGTGGGCTCCTTGACTCAGATGATGCATATGCTCCCTCCTGGGACTTAAGAGATCAGAACGGAGAGAAGCTTCAGAAGGTACTAAAGTTGGTGGTGGTGGTGGTGGTAGAGCCCTAGGCAGTGTTCCAAGCAGGTGATTTCTGCTGATATGGTTGCTGTGCTCCAGTTACCAATTGCTGCATAACAAGTAAATGATAACTGAAGGCTTAAAATACTGACAGTTATTTTGTTCTTGAATCTGCAGTTTGGGTGGGGCTTGGTGGGGACAGCTCATCTCCGGTCAACTCA